GAAATATTACCTTAGAACTGCTAAAGTGGGACTTATGCCTGTATTCAGTATTGTCATTAAGAGTTAATGACATATCTTTGCAAGCCTGCTTAGGTATTTCCTTCAACTGCTGAAGTTGGAATTATGCCCGTATTGTTGCCAAGAGTAGATAACAAATCTTTGTAAGGCCATTTATTGTTTATGGCGAGGATAGATTTTTTGGTGCTCTCACTTTATCTGTCATGGAAATGTGAGATTTGGTCTTCCAACCGTGCTGATTTCCACTTTTCGGTAGTATCCTTCTCGAATCCCCTTAGAATGGACGCCTTCTATTTCTGAAGCTGGATTGATTGGATTGACATTTCTGTGCTCACATATGTATTGCAGTTTTGCATATATATGGACGTCAAGATTGCAGAAGGCTTTTGATTTTAAGTTTTTGTAGTTAGGGTAATATGTTGTCAGGTTGCTTGCCTCTTGCTGAGATGCAAGGTGGAACAATATTGTTGAAATGTGGGAGCCTGGCAGGAGTGGTGATAAACAAAATGTTTTGGGGTTGTTTCTCATGTGAATCAGAGTATGAAAGTGGAATGAAATGATGTGCATATAATTGTCGAAATCTACTACCGACTAAATATAATCTGTTTCTTAATAAATTTATTTATTTTCGATCTGTTATCACCTGCTTTTAGTTGCCTTACACTTCCAAACTTCAACATCGGATAACTATTTTCCATTCAGAAATTTTTCGGGGATTTTTGTTTGGCTTCTTTCTCGTATGTGGCTCGACTGACCTGCTTGTATTCTCATGTTTTCATCGCAATTAACTTTTTGGGCTCTTTGGGTTACTGTATCTAATTGTATTTATCAACTTTACCATTTTCCCCGGTTTGGGGAGGGAGGTTTTTCTTTGGTTTTGGCTCTAAGTGGCTTGGTGCCTTGATCGACCTGGTTGAAATATTTGTGTTCATGGCAGTTAACTTTTTGAGGGATATTTTGTGTTGTTTTATTGAACTCTATTTGTTAATTTCATCATGTTCCCCTGTTCGGGGAGGTTTTCCTTTGATTTTGGCTTTCTATGAGATTTTGCCAAAGATTCTGGTCCTTTTGGATGCCAGGGAATTTTGCTCGAGATACTATTTGACAACATATAATTGTGAAAAAGCGGATACTTATTAATATGGAACTAAGCCAACAATTTTATTTTATTTTATTATTATTTTTACTTTGTGATCCCTTTAGATATTTAACATATTTTGCATCTTTGAGAGAGGTCCAAGATTAAAATTTTCTTTTTCCTTCAAGTTTATAAATATTCTCTTTCCAATGTTTTGATCCCAGTGATTCCATTTTTCCTGGGGTTGATACTTTTGGCAGTTTAGATAGGTTTTGATTATTAATTTCTACTGCTTGATTATACTTTCTTTCCCTTACAATGACATTTTGCATTTATTCCACTGAAAAAAATGCAACGAGAATAATATATTGCACTTTTCTTTTTATATATATTACATTTGGATTTGTACTGGGGTGCCACTGAACTGAATTAGCTGAAGGGAAGAAGTTTGAAAATTCTATTTGAGGCTTGTTTATTTTGATTGATTTAGTTACTTTAATACGGTCAACGCAGATCATATTAATTCTCTTGTTTTTCACAGTTCAGTTTTTATCATGGAACCTTTATTTATCAGGGGCCAATTTTTAAATTGAGTATCTGTATTTTCAGTGCAAAAGATGAGAATGAGGTTGGTTTGTGCATCAAGGAATTGAAAGTTCCTAGCTTTTATCCATTGATGATTTCCATCTGGATTACCGATTCATTTGAGAGGAAGGACATGGAGAGAGATCTCTTGACAAAGCTTCTAATTAATCTTGCAAACCCTCGAGATGGCATGTTAAGTCCAGATCAATTCATCAAAGGGTATGCTTTCTCCTGTTTGTGCTTAGTACATTCGTATTCATATTGACACTGTTTTTGACTCGTATCTGTTCATATTACTCTCAACAGGTTTGAATATGTTCTTACTGGGTTGGAAGATGCTGTCAGTGATGCCCCACGGGCAGCAGAGTTTCTTGGTCGTATCTTTGCACAAGTTATATTAGAAGACATCGTTTCATTCTCTGAAATTGGACGGTTGATATATGAAGGCGGGGAAGAGCAAGGTCATCTTGTCAAAATAGGGCTTGCAGCAGAAGTTCTTGATTCTATCTTGGAGACAATCAAAACCGAAAAAGGTGATTCTACATTGAGTGATATCCGTTCCAGCTCTAATCTAAAGCTCGAAAACTTCAGGCCTCCTGGTTCTAACAAATCATGGAGAATAGACAAGTTCCTTTAGAGGAAACTGATATTGTACCTGGTGAAGAAAGTTATCTCCAATTTTTTAGCTAACCGTTTCAAATTGACAGATAAAATTCTATTCTGGGCAGATGGGAATTTATGTAGAGGGCTACCTCAATTTTTACATTATTGACTGAAATCTCTTGAGGTTCGACCGACAACTGATTATTCTCTTCAAGTATCTCAGTCTTTACATCCTCACATTCCAGGATACTTGAATCATTCTTTCTTGTTTCTATATAATATAATCTTTAGTTAGGTTGCATTCAGTTAATTCTGGGATTTAGCGAGGTGTTTGAATTTCACAGTAACTTTGCTTGCTTCCTGTGAATTATTTCTTTGTACTTTTTTCACAACCCTAAATTCTGCTCAATCAACTTTTGCTGTGATTATCAGATTAATATCTAAAGTTGTATCTGTAAGTTGGATGATTGCTTAAAGAATAATAAGTCCTTGGGCAGCTTAGGTGGTCTAGAAACTCATAACTGTTCTAAAAGAGTCGAGGTATTGTTCCTTGTTTAACCTTCATTATTTTTAAAATATATTTCTCTCTTCTTTTTGCCCAAACATTTTTCATTAAAATAGTATTATACGTAAATTTGAAATTTTTCTTTATTTTTGAATCACATATTTTCCGTCCATCTAATATTTCAAATTGCATTTTTCTTTAAACATGGGCCTCAAATATCTTGGAGCTAAGTCTTAGCTGAAAAAGGATGATTGTAATTCGTACATGTTTGGCTACCTTACAAGTTTCCTTATAAGAAATGAAGTTTTTAAAATAAGTAATATTTTTAGGGGATAATTGTAGTCATGGTCTCAAATCTTTCAAAATTTTGTAGTTTTTAAAGATTTGGGATTATGGGTGCAATAAATGAAAGATGAAGGTAAAATTGCAAATATTTGAAAGATTTGGAAAAGCAACTGAGATCACCTCTTCGTTTAGCCGCTATTTAATAACCCTTATTTGAAATTTTTTTCTATATATTCATTTTCAGTTACACATTTATACAATAAAATATTATGTACGTAAATTTAAAAAAAATTTCTACTTTTTAACCCTACATTTTTCTAAAAATTACTGTTTAAAATATTATTTTTTCTCAAATAATGATCATCAAACAATGGCTTAATTGATTATAAAGTTGACAATAAATAAGGTTAAAAATCCAAATAATCATTGAACATTACACAATTTTTTCATTGGTTATTAATATTAAGAGTTTTTCGATGCCACCAAACTTATCAAATTCTTATTCCATTGATCATTAAATTTTAAAAGCTTTCGAAACGGTTACAAAAATTATCAAAATCGTTATCTCGTTGGTCATTAAACTTATCAAATGGTCATCAAACTTATCGAACAATTATCTCACCCATCACTCTCTAATTACCGTTAAAATTCAATGGACTAGTTGATGTGATAAACGAAAACCTGATATGGTACTCTATTGTCGTTAGCTGTCGATAAATCAGTTAAAAATGTGCTTATAAAAATGTGATTAACAAGAAAATTCAATAAAAAAGCAGTAGTAAATGAACATACAGTTAAACGAAAGAAAACAATTAGATATTGAAATTCAATCTCGTCTTTTTTAAGTGCTTTAATAGATGAAGCGTGTATTTGGCCGATTTGTGGTCAACAAATAATAATAATATGTCATGTCAATATTTTCATTTTCCTCGTTAGTGAGTCTATCGAATTTTCTAATAAAGAGTTATTTAGGCACCGTTTGGTACCCATTTTTATAAGAATGAGAATAAGAAATATAGTCGTACGGGACCACACGAGATATAGAAAGTCAAATATGGTGGGTTGATATGATTGATAACGGTTATATTTTTCATTTTTATGGTTAAAGAATGAAAATCAAATAGGGGCTTAATAATGAATGTGATAACAATTTAATAAATTGGGTAATAAATCGAAATGTTTTTAAAGTTATGATGCTCCTGACACACCCGAATAGGAGAAATAGTATAACACTTGTGTTTCCATGAAAAACACAGAGAACTTTATTGAGTTATTGTGTCAATTCAAGGATCCTATCATTTATAAGTTCGCTCTAAGTTTCACCTTCATTCAATTAATAATGGAATTATGATAGGAAAGTACTATGTGTACACAATGATGCACATACTGCATTACACTCTCCACATATAAAGTGAGGCCCCCATATAATAAATTATTCGTGGGCCCTCCCCCATATGATGGGAGAGTAATTCGTTGTGGACACATCGTGATATACACATAAAATTATCCATTATGACAATGGGAGATTTCAAAGGACATTCGTCATAAGATTCTATGTACTATGTTTTGATTAGACTGATATTCTATAATAATTTGCAAAGCACAATTATTTAGGTTCTGTTTGAACCAATTTTTATGAAATAAACTTTATAATAGTAATTTTCAAGAATATATTGTTAAAAAGTAGGAAAAAGTTTGAATTTCCATGTAAAATTAATTTTTAGGAAAAGTTTTTTATTTAAAAAAAATAGAAAAAAAATGAATTCTTAAAAAATAGACTCAAATAGGAACTTTAGAAATATTTTGGCGTGAGCCCACAGATTTTGGGCATTTCTTTTTCGGACGCGACGACATGTAGGTAGCTTTGGGAGTTTTAAGAAAATTATGCAAATCAAGGTTGGGAAACTCAATTTTCTTGGCATTTGTTAATTCAAAAAATGTCTATTATTATTATTTTTTTCATAAAAATACATTTTTGAATAGTGTATTGATGGAAAATGTACGGTTAAAAAATAAAAAAAAGTTTTGAATTTATGTGTAATATTATTTTATTGAAGAATATGTGGTTGAAATAATGTTAAATCACTATTTAAGAATGTATTTTTTTTTAAAAAAATGTGGCTCAAACAGGGCCATAGATATCAAGAATGATAAAGCTAAAAAATGCCAGCCTCTTTTTCATTGGGATTGGGCGCAATAGAAGGTGCTGTAAACGACGGATACTAGGTGCTTGCGTATCGACTCATGTAATGCTGTAGCAAGTAAACCTTTAAACATAGATGAGGGTGTTTGTAATATCTCTAAAATTTTGTATAACAGCTATGTCGAGCACCTTTTTTTAAAATGTCAAGTAGCCCGTAATCATGGTGTCATGCGCGTCTACTACTCGAACGACGATTATATAAATTGCATGTCATGTATGTATATTTGTAGATCTCTAAAAGATAAGTTGAAAAAAAAAAAAAAAAATCCTCCAACTAAGAAAGATAATATAGGTATGTAACATAATGATAATTAAGTTTAATTCTAGTCTCTTTCATCGAGTTTTTTTATCCAATCCAACCATCCTAAATTGGTCCAACTTACCAGCTGCTCGCCTGCTCCTGAAGCCATCGGCATTGACTTCTTACATATATTGCCAAAAAAGAAAAAAATCCAAAATTTTCGAGGATTTTCTTCTAGAAAATCACATTTCCCACGAGGTAAATTAAGAAGAATAATGCTAGTCTGCTTGGGTGAAACTACCAGGTTCACTACAGGCTCCTCACATTGAGGTGGGCCCCACCTCGATCCCATATGTAATAAAAAATTGCAAAAAATAGGGATAATCCACCCATTGTGAAGAGCCTGTGGAACACCTGTAATGTGTGTTGCCTGACAGTATAGCCTAATTCAATTAAAAATTGGAATAGGAATATGATTTTTTGTTCCACATACTTTTGACATACTATTATTATTCTTTTCCTGTTTTTATATAAAATTGAATAGATAAAAATTTGTTATTTTGATTCTTAATATTTCTTAAAATTAATTACAATATAAAAAGGTTGAGAATAGCGTTTAATTTTCACCTTGTCTTGTTTTATTTATGTACAATACATTTAAACAGATAAGTTTATTTTCAAAAAGGGAAAAGCCATTTGTACTCGGCGGTTTACACGCCAGGTTACTCGGGCCCGCCCGCCCCCTCACATGGGGGTCGGATCCCACGCATGGGTCCCGATGTGGGGCCTCGCCCCATGTGAGGGGCGAGGTGGGCCCGTGTAACCCGGCGGTACACATAACAAGATCCTTTCAAAAAATGAGGGGCGAGGTGGGCCCGCGTAACCCGGCGTGTAAACCACCGGGTACACATTGCAAGATCCTTTCAAAAAGCACAAGTTGAGGCGGAAAGGGACCGTACAAGTTGGAGGGATTTGTCACAAGTCTTTATTAACAAAAGAAAACAAATTCAATGAAAATGACTTTTTTTGGAACACATTTGCTTACTTCTGGGGTTGGACGTGGTCCCAAATAGTTTGATCTCGAAGTGAATCAATAATTTTTATAAAATTAGTACTATTAATTTCGTCGATAATTATGAAATGGAACCATACGGTTCTGATTTGGGTAGGTTCGATTTCATAACCAAAATTCCTAAGTCATTAATTCAAATTACAATACAAATTTCTATCACTAAAAGTTTTCAATGTCAAAAATCAAAATAATAAGCCTCATTCAATTCAATCGAATTTTTTTCATCTTTGTACAAAATATTGTGTAACAATTTCGCCAAATAAACATAATTATTTTGAAAAATAGTTGAATTAGAACTTGTTCTTGTTTCGTGGTTCCAAGTATTAGAATAGGAATTGAACCAATACCAACCGATTGCATTGTTTAAAATTTAAATATAACCAAATCGAATCGAACCGATTAGTTCAATTCATGTTTGGTTTGACTATCTAGTCCTCTTGGCACTCCCTACTTTTATAGAAATTTTCTAATTGTGTTTAAATAAACTAATTTTTTTTATTGCATGTTTGGCTAAGCTTTGAATAGCTAACATATTCTCGTTGGCTTATTTGCTATCGAAATTAGACAAGAAGCAGCTTAAAATTATTCTCTCTCATATTTTCAATCACACAATTTTTAATAAAATAATATTACATGTAAATCGAAAACTTTTCATTCTTTTACAACCATTCATTTAAAAAAAAAAATACTATTACCCTATTATAATCAAAATTAATGTGGTCAAATGGACGCTAAAAGTTTAAAAACATGCCATAAGTAATTTGTCAAATTTTTAACAAGTATACCTTTTTGAGGGCACATATTTCAGTCTTTTTGCTCTTTATAATACATTTATGTCAAATCTATCTTGGTTAAAACTAAGCTATTTTTTTTTTTTCCCTTCTATTTTATTTCCAATTTTTTTTTTTTTTTTTTGCAATAAAGTTTAGTAAAAAATTAANGAAATGTCACTTTTTTACGGCCACTAAAATGTCAAATTGCATGTGAAAAACATCATTATACCATATTTTTGTCAATAGATCATTATACATTTAGTCTTCCTTCCTCATTATCGCATTCCAAAATCTCTCGGACACACCAATACTATCACCCACCAACTAGAAAAATTTGAGTCGAATTGTGCTATAGCCTTACGTACTGTGCTTGTCCACTCAAATGACGTCACACACATACACATTATTATTTTTTATTATTATTTTTTGACCTCTTCAAACCACTCAATCATATGGTAAATGAATTAACATAAAATATATAATTCTATTAAAATATTATCATTTGTAAAAGGAATGAAGATCAAAATAATAGTTGGCACAAACAAAACTTTCCATTTATAAGGATATTATTCGGTATTCATGTTAGGCTGAGCACCTTATTAGGAGTTTCATTACTAGTCACAAATACCTATCGATTGAAAAAATTTATATGGAACACTTTAAACTAAAATTAGGGATGACAAATACCCTTCTCTATCTCGTCTCGTAGGGCTGTAAGCAAAGACTGCAAAATCGAAAAATCGAACCGAAATCGCATTTTAGAAACCGTCGGTTTGGTGTCACGTGGACCCGATCAACGAAATGGTTTTGACCCAAACCAAACCGGTCAAAATGATTTGGTTTAGGTTTTAGAATTTTAATTGAGGTTTAAAACCAAATCGGACCGGTGAAAAAATATATAAAAATAAAAAAATAAATTTTTTTGAAAATTCATCCAAATATGTAAAATTCAATAGTTTTGTCATTTGTGGGTATTTTTGTCAATTCCTAATTTTCTAATACAGATATATTATTATTAGTATTATCCAATAATCATAATATATATATATATATAATAATTTTAAGATTAACATAATCTATCAAAAATCTTTTTCCTCTTCATAATTTAGATGAACTCCAGTCGATACTCAACACAGTTTTGAACCTTTAGCACCACACACTTCTTTTTCAGATTTTTCACGCCTCTTCAAAGTCGAATTGAAGTCCATTATACCAAATCGGAGACAAAGAGATCCTAGATCTTAGGTGATAATATTTGTTACAAATAAAGTTTCAGAACAATAATTTTTTGGAGCAAATTAAGGTAAGAATTTGAAATTAAATGTGTTTCGTAACATCATACAAACGCAAACTTGTGAAATTGTTATGTTTAGATATTATAAACAATTGTTTTATTATTGTAGTTGGTTATTCTCTTTATTTAATCAATATCTTTTTTTCAGATACGATGATTACGAGATCTTGTTGGATATCATTATATTTTTTGGACCTTATATTTAGTTTAGTAGACTTATATTGCAACGTTATTGTATCGTCAACAAAAATGAAAAAAAAAATGTTTTAGTTTATTGTGATTTCACTTTGATTTAGTTAATATTTAAATTTATAGTAGATATATTTAGCCTCTGTTTGAGCCATATTTTTCATATCATCATAATGAAAAAATTGACATTGGAGAGGGGGTTGGGTCCCACACATGAAATAACAGGTCAATAAAGGCGGATGGACTTGTGGAATAACGATTCAAATTTTCATTTTTTTATTCCAAAAATTTGGTTCAAATAGGGGCTTAATTTGCTTTAGATTTATCACTAGTGAGATATAAATATATATTAAATTCAATGAATTAATGACATAAAAGTAGACGGGCAAAAAAATATTTGACGAAATCGACGGTTTAAAACCGGACCAAACCGTTAGGTTTAATTTTGAGTTTTTTTCAAACCGTTCAAAATGATTTGGTTTAGGTTTGGATTTTTCTCAAACCGTTTTAAACGATTTGGTTTGAAAATTTGTCAAAAATCGATAAAATCGGACCGCTTACATCCCTATCGTCTCGTCTCGTTTCGTTTAATCCTATCCGATATTATCCTATCTTGAATAAGGTAGGAATTTCCAGCCCCATATTGGATTTGTCTCGAATCTTGTTTTCTTACTTATTTGTGTTTTTAATGTCCACCAATGGGCTAAAACAACCCTGCCTGACAACATTGGCATCCCAAAATAAAATAATATTTAAGTTAATTAATGTTTGATTCATACTTACAGGTATTCAAATTACTTTTTAATAACATATTCTATAGAATTTTCAAGTGATAATTACTTATTCATTATTCACTTCTATCATTTATAAAGACGACCATTTATAAATGATCCTTAAACATAATTTTATTTTATTGTTTTCTATTTAAAAAAAGTTAGCCCCTGTTTGGTGGGAATTAAAATTATAATTTTGGTACAAGTTTTTGAAATATATGGTTGAAAAGTTATGAGATTCATGAAATACGTGATTAATATTGATTATTTGATTTTAATTTAAATTAAAATTTAATTTACGAAGTTTCATCTATACGTGACAAGGAAGAAGTGGATCCTCCGTACTCCCCAAAAAATCCACTCGATAGCAACCCAAAGAGACACAAGTCTATATAATACAATAGTTAAATACGACCAGACTCAAGTACACGTCGATAAATTTTCATACTATAAGAAGAAAACCAATAAACAAAGGATAGACAGTCCAAGCGGTTGTTGAATGGAAATCAGAAATACAAAATTTACAGGTACACGCATTTAATTTTCATCATCTCCTTTGTTTCTTGTCTCCTTATTCTGCGTTTCTTGCTTCAAAATATTTATCTGGGTTCAGTTTATTTTTTTGTTTGCTTTTCTATTTTCTCGCAGTTCTTCAATCTGGGTACAACTTCTTCTTCTTGAATTTTCAGTTTTACATGCTTGTTTGATCTGGGTTTTTTTTACTGATTTATATTTTTTAAACATTTGATTATTTTAATCTTCTGCTATTTTTTCACTAGTTCTTTTAATTTTCAAATATTGTTTTCACTTTATTTCATTTACAGCAATAAATTAAGCCTTACTGGTTCTTTTCATTTCATATTTAATGATTACTGTTATATTTCTTGTTCCTTTTCCTGGGTCTCTTTCAATTTATGTGAATTTGATTTTTCTTGATCTGATTTTTTCATATATGTTTAACAGGTGTTCAATGGAAGATTTAGAATTCAAAATTGAATCTTGAAATTGTTTTTTAATTTGGAGAAGAAAAAAAATGAAGTGTTTCTATTACTTCAAGGATAAGAGCAGAGTCAATGGACAAAGTTCAGCCCCAAATTTGAAATACCAAAGCAAATCCTATACATCAGAAGCTGAGAATGTGATCCAATCTTCATCTTCAGCTCCTTCGCCTCGCGGTTTATCTGAACTATATGAAGAAAAAGCTCAAAACTTGAGAGTTTTTAAGTTCTCTGAGCTTAAACAGGCCACTAGTAACTTCAATAGGTTACTTATGATTGGTGCAGGTGGTTTTGGATGTGTATATAAGGGAACGATAAAACCCGTTGACGAAAAGGGTGAACCTTTTGTGGTTGCCATAAAAAAACTCAACAGAGATGGCAATCAGGTATATAAAATTAGTCATACTTTGATGAAAACAAAAATGTTGTTTGATATGCTTGAAGTATTTTCCTTGATTTAGTATTTGATTAGATTACTTTTGTGGGCTAAAGAATAATGTATGTGCCTTGGGTTAGTCTTGTAGGATAAGTTACTTTTTTCTACTTATAAGTGAAAAAGTGACTTATTTTGATGGCAAAGTAAGGGATGCAAGTAACTTACTCATTCTGAACTTGATCTATAAAAAGATTACCTAGCCCCCGATTGTTTCCCATTTTTTTACCGTTATCCATCACATCAAGTCACCAAATTTGAATTTCTATCTCTTGTGTGGAGTCCATAAAAGCTATATTTTTCATTCTCATTTTTACAAAAATGGGAAACAAACGCCCCACTAGTCTACTTTTAAGTTAATTTTTAAGCTTAGTCAAATATGCTGTTTGCATTTCTGTTTTTCGTCCTAACTTTATCCTTATATTCACTTGCGCTTTTGATTGCAATTATTCTGGTCAACTGCTGGTGATCATGCAAAATTGCTATCGGATTCTGATTATGTAATTCCTTGTAGGATCAAACTTTTTATTTTTGGCTCAAGGAATTAACTTTCAGGTTCTAATTTGCAATTCTTATCTTGCATAAGTCACATGCTTGGCACATGTAGAAGCAAAAGATACTGTTACTTTCTATTACTTTCTTAGCCTCCATTGATCATCATATTAATCTTGTAATTGATGAAATTCATAAAAATTTGTATGGAACTAAAGATGGGCTAAAATCTTTGGAGGATGCATCTTAGATTTTATAAGATATAGCTAAAAATGACGAGTTTGGCTGAATGAGCTCAACATTGACTACCGGTTGAAACCTTTGCACCTGTATTGTGTTATTTCTAGCTTTGTCCAGATTTCCTCTTTACTTACTCTTGTAAGATGTATAATTGAAACACTAGTTTTTCCTGGTTTTTAGGGTCATAAAGAATGGGTAACCGAGGTGAAATTTCTTGGTGTTGTGGACCACCCAAATCTCGTTAAACTCATTGGATATTGTGCCGTGGATGGAGAGAGAGGTATCCAGCGGCTACTTGTATATGAATACATGCTAAACAAAAGTCTGGAAGATCATCTTTTCAATATGTCATTACCAACTCTTTCTTGGGATCAAAGATTGCAAATTGTGCTCGGAGCAGCTCAGGGATTGGCTTATCTTCACGAGGAGTCAGAAGTCCAGGTTTTATCTTCACCGTAGAATTCTGATTTTACTTTTTATTTGCTGCTTATTACACAAAAAGCTGCAATTATTCTTAGTTAATCCTTTGATCACAATGACACACTTTCTTAGAAAATTGATTACTGCTCATTCTTGAAACTTCCTGTTGTTTATACAATTGATTAGGTTATATATCGAGACTTCAAGTCATCAAATGTTCTATTAGATAAGGATTTCAAGGCAAAGCTTTCAGACTTCGGGCTCGCCAGGGAGGGTCCAGTTGATGGAAAAACTCACGTTTCTACAGGGGTAAATTCACCTTTGTCATAATGGAGTTTTGCTTCTTGTGTGATGGGTGTAAAACTTCATAACAAATATCTAATAAATATCTAGAGAAGTTCAACACAGATGTTAAAATGGTAGTTCTGATCTCATGCGGTTTTGAGCATTATTAGATACGAAGTTGATTGATTAATTTTGTTAATCGTGTTAGGGCGGTAGGGTGGGCACTGTCCGGTTCCAAAGAGAACCGAACCAAGAATTACTAGGGATCTTGTAAATTGAACTATTGGGTCCTACTTTAATTATGAAATTGAACTAGATCTGTACTATAACTAAATTTTTAAACGTTTTCATATTTCCAACGTCTATTTTCATTCTCCTAATGTTTGAAACAACACAGCAAATATGAACAAAAATACGGCGGATTAACTGTTCTGTATTGTATAGGAAATGGACAACAATTAACGTTTCCTAATCTTTCAAACGTCAGAATAAAGCTTTCCCATGATAAAATCTGATTTATGTACAAGTTTAGGAACTGATTGTGGCAGGCCTGTTTTCTGTGTTTAGGTCGTCGGAACATATGGATATGCCGCCCCAGATTATATTGAGACGGGACATCTTACTTCTAAGAGTGATGTTTGGAGTTTTGGCATTGTATTGTACGAAATCTTGACTGGTAGGCGATCCGTCGAAAGAGAGAGACCGAGATCAGAGCAGAAACTGTTGGATTGGGTGAAACAATACCCTGCTGACAGTCGGAAATTTGGCGTGATAATGGACTCGAGACTCGAAAATCAGTATTCGCTCAGCAAAGCTCGAGAAGTTGCTAAACTGGCCGATCGTTGTTTGGTAAAAAGTCCAAAGGACCGGCCGAAGATGAGCCAGGTGGTGGAAAGTTTAAAGCAAATAGTTCGGCTTCCAGCTGACGAATGCCCGCCTGCCAAAGATTTCGAGGGCATTGAAGATGAACCGAAAGAAGAAAAAGCCATTAAACAGACGGGAGTCTCGGAATCGGCCAAAAGACGAATGGAACATTTGGCTAAAATAAGTGAAAATGTAGATGGTGTAAATAGGAGAAGGTTTATGATCATGCAGGGGGCTAAAGTTATATAGATATGCATTTTTTTCCTTCTTGAAATATTCCCCAAATTTTAGGATTATGCTTTTTTTGCTTCCGTATATGTAGAAGTAGAACAGAGCAGATGAAAATATATATTTAAAAACTTGAGATTTCGACTTCAATTCTGGTTTTGTTAGTCTGATTTGTCCAAAACTGTTGAACCAAAGAACAAATGTATCTATTTATTTTGTCTTTCAACACGACTTTCCTTATCAATTTCCATTTTTAGCTAATCTTGAAGATAGGTGGACAAGTAATACCATTTGGAAAGAGAGAATGCATAATGCACGAGATAATTTTTTAATGCTAGACGTGATTATGCAAGAGAGAATGCATAATGCACGAGCAGTTCTACTCAATCGGCAAATAATACAGCTACGGGGCCATGTCCTAATGAGGCCAAATACTTAACCAATAGGATGTTAGTATAAGGAGATAGCTAGCAGACCTAGTGAGCTGCCCCTAGATTATCGCGCCTAGAGGATGAGAAGGTATTGATTGCTCTAAGATACTACTTGCGGACGTAGGTCGTGAAGCAGTTTTGGACGGGGAGTAGTGAACTCTGATGGATCACTTATTGATGAAGATTTAGTTATAAGCACAAAACAAACATGTCATTATGGTTGAAGTGAAAATCGAAGCCCTGAAGGGTTTACCGTGGTGAATTAGCATTAGATAGTCTAATAGGATTGATGTTAGAGAATATTATTCTTACAATTTTATTTTTTTTTATTACAATAATGATAAATTGATGATGTGGAT